ACTATCGCATATTCGTTTCTACTATCATATGTACATATACAGATAGATTAGAGAAACACAACACAGAAGAGTAACAGCAACACGATAGTGATGGTGGGGTATCAAATCAAAATAATTATACATCAATAACCCAAACGTCATTTAATGATCTATTATATAAAATACATACATCAGCAGGTTAAGGAAATAAAAAGAAAAAGAGAGAGGATGATATGCCACCTATTAATCATGAGGGAAAGGGTGGATTATACTTTCTCAAACAGTTGCGCATGAACAGAAAAAATAAGAATTTATTTAACGTTTATGCTTAGGTTTTCAAGTGTTTAACTATTGCACTGCTGAGGTAAAGTAGCATAAAATTTAAGCTTAGCTGTTGTTGTATCCTACGGAATTCGATTGAATACAAAATTTTAATAGAGTACCGATGCTAAATAAGTTACCGTTGTCAACTAATAAACAGAGATAATGACAACTGTTTTTTAGTCTTATCACTCACAATCAGTAGAGCAAACTGTTTACATTCCATCAGTGACGATCCGTTTCATAATGGAAGTGATACATTTTTTAGCAGAAATAAGTTCTCTAATTGTCGTCACGAGATCTACGTTTTAAACTTCATCTATCATCTTATACTTGTTTCTTCTTTTTTCTTTTATCATAAATATAAGTGATCGAATAAATGTGCTCAAAGTTTGAACAAAAAAAGAAATAGCACAGAATTATTTTTCTCCTCATTTCTTCTCTTGTCTTCATTACTTCAAACTACTAAACAGTCTCTCACTGCGTGCTATTCTATGCAAACCGTATATCTATATTAATCTTGGAGTACCATACAGAAAAACAATAACAATTTATCATTTACATACATATGTTTGTGAATACGTACGCTATTTTTCTATGTATGACACATGAGATATACGAAAAATAAGAAAATATCTTCATACGTCTTTTTTTGTTTGTAACGGGATGAGAATGTGAAAATATAGTAGTTGATCTTTGTCAATAAAAAAACATGTGAAGAGTAAAAATATTGTATCTTATTTGGTTAATTAGTCTTTAATGTTATAATAAAAAATAATCCTCAGATTTTATGCTGTTATTCTATAATGAATATGATATATCCACTTATCTATTTACAAGTAAAAGAGAGTTGTTTCTTCATCAACAACTTTCTAAAATACTATTCGAAACAACAGATAGGTTTCTAATATAATTACCAATCTTAAACAGTTAAAATCGTCAAGCATTCGACTCTACTGTAATTCTCTGCTTGTTTTAGATATCTGCTGTTTTCTGAATTTTAGTATGGCTAATTCCCACACTGTTGAACATATTGATGAATGTTATCCAACGCGAAATGTAACTGATAAACTAATGGTACCTACTGTTCTCGAATATCCATCGTCAAAAAGACGTCAACAACAATCTCGAAGTCGAAATAGTCTTCGACATCGTACACAGCCGGTGACATTAACGGAAATATCTGAAGTCGATGAAGACGGAACATGTCAACAGAGTACCAAAGACAAATTACAATGGAAAGAAGGTGATGAATTATCATCCTCGAATAACGATATATGTCGAAAAGACGTTTTAATAAATAACTCTCGATTTGCTTTTGATCAATCACTAGACATCTCCTCTACAACCTATTCTTCTACGTCGCCAAATGAAACATTAACATTAAACGATATACGACGATTAGAACATTTAGCATTAATAGACAGTAAACGTCAACGAAAACAGCCGACAAAAAAAATGTTAGAACGTCAACGATTAAAAGCAATGAGAGAAGAAGCAAATGAAGATAAAGATACTATATAAAATAGTTAATCCTGTATATAGTTACTTAAGCTTAACTGCAAAAGTTTTTAGAAAGGACGACATTAGGCGTTAAAATTGTTTATTCATCCTATGCTCTACTTAATGGCAACAATTTGTATTTGAAACTTGAGATATAAAGATGAAACTAGCGTAGTTTGAAAGCTGATATTATATTCTGATTTATAGAAAAAGCTCTAGTTTATTGTTGTGATTGAAACTTCATGTTTCTGTATTTTGATAAATCCTCCTTTTTCCTTTTTGTTTACACGAGTAAATTTATCAAGAGTTCGGAATATAATTGAGAAACTCAGCTTCTTAACTACGATAATTTTATCCCGTGTGCACATATGAACTTTATATCTCAAATATAAAATGTAAATTGTCGTCATTTCTAAGTAGCGTATAGAGTGTATGAATAATTTTGGCACTCATTAGAGCCGCATCAAATACGGAATCTCCATCTTTTCATTTCTTGTCAGTGTTAGTAAATGTCTGTACAGACATTTACTAACACTGACAAGAAATGAAAAGGTGGAGATTCCGTATTTGATGCGGCTCTAATGAGTGCCAAAATTATTTGGCTTGGTCTTTAATTTATATTTTATATTAAAACATAATGTTTTAATAATACCACTACTACTAACTAAGAAAATCAATGATGCAGATGTGCTATATTCAGACCAAAATGATCTCAGAACTTCGTTTTGGTTTTCAAGGTGCTAATTAATACCTTACATCTGCGAAAGTGCTACATCAGTGGTGATGGAAGAGGCGGGCACGGTCCAGTAAAGAATGCTCATTCACCTGATCAGTAATTAGATCACGGATAGGCATTTTAGTACTTGAATACTTTTTACAGTATTTGTGCTCAGTTTGATCTTTAACGTTGCTACCGGATTGTAAGTGACGTTTACCCCAATATGTTCTCTAAATGTTTCAAAACGAAATATAGCAGCAAAACTTTATTAAAAGTTAAATTTCAAAACTATCGAAGACGCGAGACTCAACAACGAGGGTTATGTGGGATTTTGATACCGGAAACATAACAGATTTTTTTGTGTGGATGTTGACTAGTAAGACGATTTAAAATTTTTTTTCCATAAGAGCAACAAAGAAAGTAATATTGGCATTTGCGCCATGTAAAAATGTGGTAAAAAATACCGTCAATGAATTCCAAAATGTGCTTAATTCGTTTAAGTACTATAAGGGATAAATACATGTAGACGAAGTGCATTGTATGATACATGTGGAGTAACGTTAGTTTTCTTTCTGATTTTTTCTTTCATATATGTACTATAACGAACACATATTCTATAAAAAAACTCTTTCTTTTGTCGAACGAGAAAAAGCAGACGACGTTTTCTTTCTGTATAATCGTTAAAATTAAAGAACGAAGAGATTGAGATCAAATACAACGACACTAATTAATTGATTCGTACAAAATATTTTCTAACTGATCTTCTTGAATTTCAAAAACCCTTGTGAAAAACATTACAAATCATGTAGCTGCAACTCTGTTTTAGAGAATACACTCAACAACGAGAATGCTTGCACTGTAAAAAAAAATGTGTATCTGAAAAAAACGGATCCTATTTGCCACACTTCTTTCTTAGAGCGGTTGCAAAAGGTTACTTTCAGGAGCACTTTTAAAAGCGTTTAAAAAAAAAGCGTGGGAGATAGGATCCGTCCTTTCAAGATATTCTTTGGAAAGTGTGCTTGCTTAGCACAGTTTTGACGGTGCTTCTACTTGAAGTACTTTCCAACAGAGATATTACGTAGTACTTTCAAAATGCGTTACCGTTTGGCGAAAGACGTTTAAATATTCTTATAGTCTTTTCTGCTGATAAGTTTAACTACACCTTACTCATTTTTTTCCATCTGCTGTCCTATAACTGTGAGCTTTGCACGTTATCATTATTATAGTATTATGATCAAAAACTAGTTTTTTTTCCGTATAAAGGTTATAGCGGTGGGAGATCTCATTGCTTCTTGGATTTTATGCGGAAAAAAACTAGTTTTTGATCATAATACTATAATAATGATAACGTGCAAAGCTCACAGTTATAGGACAGCAGATGGAAAAAAATGAGTAAGGTGTAGTTAAACTTATCAGCAGAAAAGACTCGAAGCATACTAAGACATCTTTTGCCAAAAGAATTTTGAGTGTTACTGCAGAACGAAAATTGACATAAAATGAAAACATTTGTTCATCCGCATTGTGTTTAAATGCCGTATGCAAACAAAGAAATGTTTGTCTTCTGGGCTATATGAAAGTTAAAAAACGTTTCTTGACGGCTGATTTCTCATCCTATAACTCAAAAGAAAGAAACAAAATGAAAGTTTTACATGGGAAAAGCAATCCCGAATTCAACTTTTTGTCTGGAATGCACGGCAATGCATCGCCTTTCTTTCAAAGTTCATAGAAGTGTGGTTAAAGGAGAAATAAATGCGCTGTCAGATGTCCTTAGAATCGCATATCCTTATTCATCTTGGAAAATAACAGGGATAAAACATGAGTATTATTCTGAAAAGATCTTTTTAAAGTAATAACTTGTCTTGTTTTTATAGTGTGGTATTAAAAAAAGCATACTTTTTGTTGATTCGATAAAATGCACTGGAATATTTATTTAATGCGGTGCGAAGCAATTATAGTAATAAACTGCTTTCCTATCTAGATCGAAAAAGTGTCATTTTCTGTAACGATTTTCTCGGGAACCAGAAGAGGTGCAGTAAAAGTTTAAACGCGAATAGAGAACTGTGTGTCTAAATTAATAGAGCACTAGCAAATAAGGAGATATCTCTTTTCACATACGATATCGCGTGTGCCAACATTTTTTTGTCTCAGCGCGTCGATTGAAACGAAAGAGAACAGAAAGATATGCATGTGCGAAAAGAGATATCTCCTTATTTGCTAGTGCTCTAATAAATAAGCTGTTTTCAGCCTTTGCAGATGTTCCATTGAAGAGTTAGGACGTTCGAAAGTATGTGATTTGAACGTCTGGTACTTGTAGTAATTTTTTTTCTTCAAAAAACATCGATAATTAATCTGAATCATTCATGTGCAGATGCATTTATATGCGAGTACGTTCCCATACTATGTGATTCATTTCATGACAATGTTTTTATATGTATTCAGCGAATAATTAACGCAATGTCTAGTCTCTAAATGCATTACTCTTTTAAAGATGATTAACGCAGTATGTAAGATAAAATCTCTACGCTATGATAAAGGCTAAAGTTTTAGACTGATAAATCATTATTTGAACCTCACAACTCTCCCCGACTCCAGTAATCAAAACATTTTTTTTTTATGCAGGTAATCTACCCTTTCTTCATCAGTTATGTGGTAAGGCTGCTGTATGTTATTAAACAAAATCTTCAGCTCTGGTTATCATATTTAGCTGTTTCACACAGCATTTGCAACCCTCGTTGGCACGATTGCCGTCTAGTTTAGTTCAGTACTCGTACTCACCTATCCAGAAAATTTTTTATACGAATTGCATTACACCAGTCCACTCAGAGTTATTTGACTGAAAAGGTATAAACGTGCTTTGGGATATAGATTATTTATACAAAAGTAATAAAAAAACAAAAACAATGTATATACATTTTTTTTTCCTATTTCAAATTTTGACGATATTGTTTTTGATGACACTGTCTAATACTAATAATATCTCTTCTTACTGTTGTTGTTGTTGTTGTTCCTGAGTTTGAAGAACGTAAGGAGGACGGCAGTAAAAATTGTTGATTATTTAGATCATTTTCTTCTTCATCTTCCCCCCCTCCGTTAGCATTTTCATTTGCAGACGAAATTGTTTTCATTTGCAGCAGATCTGATGTAACTCGATTTTCATTTACATTAGATTTTGTTCGCAATTGTTTAACTGCTCTGATTGGTACTTTTGTAGTTGTATAACAATTGATCATTGTTTTCGGTGGTACTATAACTGTGTTTGATGATGTTTTAGTAGGTGATACTGTATCATTGGTATTTATAACTAAATTATTGAGTGAATAATTTAACACAGCAAATATTAATGGGATTAAAATGGAAAAATAGACGAGATAAAATCGCATAGCTATTGGATAAATTGTAGCTAACACATTGCAAGAAAGAACAAGTAAAAATTTTAAAAACGTTGATGAACAACAAAACGAACTCGATAATGATGATGTGGAAGATGTTGGTGAAAGAGAGGGTGATGGCCATTGATGATCTGGTATTGAAACTGATGTATTATTATTATTAGTAATAATTCCTAAATTAGGCATCATCGAAGGTGAATAATGTATTGATGGCGGTGTATCATAATAGGAAAGAGTTCCATTTTGACGACAACAATAACATCCACAACCATCTTTTTGTTTCTTGGATATTCCTGTTGATATTAATTTTTTTTTACTTGTTTTACGTGATGAAAAATGATGCGAACAATAATTTTGACAACAATATAATAGACAATCACTAAATAATTTGAGCAATGATATCAGTGTTAGCAATGAACTGATTATAAATGGCATCAAATAGAATAGTATACTTTGTATTAAACGACTTTCATCAAACCATTCTTCGGCTATTGTCATTAATGTTCCTGGACAATATACAGGTTGTGGATTTTTTTCGTTTGAATCAATTGAATATAATAGTGGAATTGTTGCGGTAAAACTAACACTCCATAAACATATTACAAAACAAAAACAGAAACGACGTAAAAATTTTATTGTACACGTAAATATATTATGTGTAATAGAACGTGAACTTTTATCATTATAAGAGGAATCTATTGGTGAGCCAGATGATAGATATGGAGATGTTGTCGTTGATTTTTGATTATTTTGATTCGATGATGATATCAAACATATAAAAAAGTTTACCTGCATAGCGATTATTGTATAAGCTAAAATATCAAGATTAATAATTTATCTATTAGTTATTTTACAAAATCGAGTATTAAAAATCTAATGCTATACATACCTAAGACAACTGAACATGATGTTTGTAGATAATAAATGGCTCGACAATTTGATTCTGATAATGTCTTTAAACGTAATATTTGTATTATATAATAAATATACAACGAATTAATCATTGAGCTTGATATTGCAGCACCCGAAAAATAAAAATTAATTATGCTTCGATATGATGCTTGTGATGTTAAAACAGGTATAAAAAGGTTTAATAATACTAGTAATGATGTAGTAAATAATTCTAGTTTGTGCCATGTAGATAAATTGTATAAAAAATATGACATGTTAACAACATATAAGAATATTCACTTTTACATAGTTTGATTTCATTGACATTTGGTGTATAGACGATAATTAAAAAATTAGACAATAATCGAATATACATGTCGGTATATTATTATACATTTGATCACTAAAAGGTAAAAATTTGAAATTGCTTTATTTTTATTACAAAATTCAGTTTAAAATCAGGCACGATTCCAATTTCTACAATTTTCTGAGAACTAGTTACCAATTTTTTTCAAAAGAACTGTAACTGATGGTTATTGTTCATCAGATATTTTTCAAAAAATTTGATTAAGAAAAGAAACTGTATTTGTTTTTGTAACTGCAACGAACAGTCCTCTGTCATGACGAAAAGAAAACTAACATCAGATTTTTTTCTCGCTCATACCTAGGTTCTGTTGTTTTATCCGCCTTTTAAGAAAAATATTGGATTAGAGAGTGTAATTTATTTAATCTCCAGCCAAAAGCTGTTAAGCCTGCAAAAAACGAAGTTTCTCGCCTTTTCTGTAAGCATTTGGACAAAATTATGACTTTAAAATACAGTTCGATTTTCTTACTAAAGCATTTAAACTTGGTTAGCATTGTTGGTCTGAGCAGAACATGCTGTGATGAGATGCGCCATACCTTCATTATGTCCAATCAGTTCCAGAGGAAGAGAGGAAAATATGAGTATTGATAGGTGGTATATAGTGACAGGGAGCTGATGAAACGACGTATACTGTGATTCAGCAATACAACGTGTTGTCAAAGGTGAGAATAAACGGAGAATACACCATCCTACAGGCTGTTCTGAAAAAACCCGGCTTATATTATCTCGTCTTATTTCTTTTCATCCACCTTATTTTAAGGTGCTTGTTCCTGTAAGCCGTTCTTCCGTCTCACTTATACAACTGATAGACAAGTCAGTCGTCTCTGTTGTTCTGCGTTTGCCGCTTGTATATAAAAAACAATGATTTTTTCGAAACTACTTGTCAATTTATTTTGATGTCTTACTGGAACCATTGATATGGTCAGTACCTGAGATGCTCTAACGGTCCTCCAACAGGACTGTTCTTCAAATGCTAATAATGAAAATAAGATGTAAAAACAAGCTAAGACGGATAAGTTTGTCTGTCTTAAAATATGACGGAATCAGTCGGATTGATTCGTGTCAATATAAGACGGATCGAAAACCCTTATAATAAGACGAACCAATCCGACTATTTAGCAATTCTGATTCCGTCGTAATTTAAGACGGTTATGTTTTTAGAATGGTTAGTCTTGTCAGTTTCGAGTAGTTCGATATCTTCCCTGTAGCTGACGATCTTCACAGCTAATCGGTGGCGGCGCGAAGAGGTCCGGAGCATGGAGGATAAATCGTAAAATCAGAGCAAAATTTTTTGAAAGATTGGGGGTGTTCCCCTCCCGGTCGCGTCGCAACTGCAGATAATCACTCATCCTTTTATTAGTCATCAGTCACACATCTGGACAGAAGACTAACGTCACGCAGACTTCTTACGACCGATTTCTCGGCTACATATACCCAATCATTCTTCATAAACTAGCGTACTAGTCAGCAATAAAACTATGGTTGTATGTCACAAAGTAGCAAGTATGCTGCTCAGTGCGTGACCTGAGATACATGAACACAACTAACTTGTCCAACATTAGTACATGATTTACTAATGCCAACACGTGACAATGTTTGTTTCCATGTAGTAATTATAGAAAAATCATACAGGTGATGAACTTCATCGATCATTTTTAAGTTCTTTCCATTCAAAAATGATCATTATCATTTCTGTTCTTTCTTGGCAAATAGCCTAAAGTGTCGTCTGTCGATTCACGTGAGTCCTTCGTCTCTAGCTAACGTGGTTCGGGAGATATGACCATTTTGCTGGGACATACCCATGGTAGTCTCGTTAAGAAATCAACACCTCTTTTGGCGCATTTCTAGAGGTTAGATATGTATATCGTTTTGTAAGATTATGTACCATCTGATAATAGAAAATCGTTAAATCAAACACAAAATAGCTTAAACTTCCAGAATATGTCTTAAATCAGCTCTTATATAGACCGACTTTGAGAAAAGAGGATCTGGTAACGACTGGTGTCACAGTCCATCTCTAACGATCCTCATTTC